AACCATTTTTTTGTTCTTTTAAGAATTCAAAACTGCAAGCAACAACTATTTAAGTTAGGAGTTAAAAAAAAAACAAGAAAGAGAAGAAGCAAGATAACCATTGCCAGAAAACTTAAAAAGTTGAAAATTGCATAAGCTCAGAAAAAGTTTTTTAATCATGAAGAAAAAGTAACAGCAAACAGATGTAACTCTTCTAAAATTAAAATTTTATTGAATTTGAATAAGTGAAGATAGCTAGCTTGAGCAGCAACCATGATTGATAAAATTGACATGATAAAATTTGAAAAAAAGAGACTTTAAGATTGGCAGCTAAAACGTATACAAGATTATAATATATTATAACAGCAGTAAACAACTGCTTTTTGTTTAGATTAAAATTCATTAGCCACTGCAAGTCCCAAGGCAATTGAATTTTGCAAACCACTCTTAAAGCACAAGCATGAAAACATTACACTCATGTTTTGACACAACTAAATGACTGGATTTTGATGAGACATGAAATGTGACGCCCTGGTGAGTAATATTATATTTTAATATTTCCTGGCAATGAAAGTATAAATGAAAGTATAAATACAAACTTGTAGACAAATATGGCAAAAAATTGCTCTTTACAAATTACAAAAAATTGTAAGCAATTTGTAGCTACAGAAGAAAGAGTAGAGCTTTTGTGACATCATCAACTTTGACATCAAAAACTTGTATTTAAAAGTGTCTTCAAAAGCTACATTTGCCACTTTTTCGATTGCACATTAGATCTAAATTGTTTTGACTTGACTTTATTTAATGCCTCTATGCTAAAAAAACTTTGAAGTGGTATAAATTGAGAAGTTATTTTGTAGCAAGTTAAGCTCAATCTGCCAAATTGTCCACAATTCCGATCCATCAAAAAATATTGGCATATTGATAAAGGATATTTGCATTTGGCAAGATTATTAATTCTGTACACCATTTTCTGAAGGCATGGTCAATCATAAGAAAGAAAATGACAATAGATAAATGACAGCACAAAGGTTAATGGATATTGTCACCAGTAAAGTACAACTATTTTATCAGAAGTAAAGAAAACAGCATAAGAAGTTTAATAACTCATGTTGTTATTAAAAAAGGACTCCTTCATTTTTATTCACTTATTTATTCTTCCTATTCCTTCCTAATCAAAACAGCCCAAAAAAATAAAAATTTTCATTCACTTCACTTAAATAAAACTTTGCACTTATGTATCCAAAGGGTAAACAGATTCTATATATTAACTGCTTTGCACCTCTTTTTCACCTATTAGGCTAATGTAAATGTGTTTATAATATATTGTTTCCAGTTTAGAATGCTTAATGCTGGATCTTCTTGATTCAATGTATGGATTTTGCTTGTGCCTCTGTTTTTATGACTAGACAACTCATTCTATTATCTTCTAATGAGGGTACAGCTCTAAAACTTAGTTTTATGGTTCTGAGGCTGGGTGATAGTCAGGTTTCCTAAATTCTGTGGTAGCACTCAGTTAGGTTGATTCTATTTTGTAAAGTATCAGAGTACTATCAGTGCCATGTTGCGCAGGGACGGCGTCCCTGTTTTTACTTTTAGTGTGCATTGTCAGCGCCACATTTGAAGCCCTTCGCTTAGACTATTAAATAGCCCAAGCAAAAAAAAAAAAAGAGCCCTTTCCTTCTCTCTTAAATAGTGTACTGAGTACTTTCTGTGCTTTAAGTCAAGCTCTTTAACTAATCTAAAAATAACTAAAATATCAAAAACTATATAACACAAAAAACCACCGCCAAGTTCTCTAAATCTATCATTCACTAATATTTGTGGTTTTCTACATAACTTTTCTTCTGTCTTATTTATTGCAAAGATCATCAGACTTACTTGCTCTACGAGAGACTAATTTGAGTTTAGCTGTCTCATCTTGTGATATTAGTGTTGATGGTTATCTTCCTTTAATTCATAAAGACTCCATAAGCCACATTCTTGACCTGGGCATTTACACATATAAGATTTCCCCCATCGTTGAGATACTAGGTTTGAGTCCCCAGACTTTCCTTTAGCACCACTTAACTCTATCACTGTTCTTTTTGTTCTATATAGCTCTCTTCTCTTTTCTCCTTCAGCCAATATCACTGTTATAGGTGACTTCAATGTTCATCTTACTGAATGGCTTGGTTCTAGTGTCAGTGACTCTGCAGACATTAAAGCCCACAACTTTTGCACAACTTTCCAACTCGCTTTTCAGAAAATCTCAATCAATTACCTTCTCTACTCGACTTATGCCTTGTTTCTAATCCGAGTCAGTGTGCAGTTTCTCCACATTCACTCTTAGTTGTTTTAGATCACAGTTTGATCTCTCAAAATCTCACTTCTTATTCTTATTCATTATCAAAATCCCCTTATCATCATATCTTTTACAACTACCTTAAAACTGACTGGGACTCTTTCCTTGATTTTCTTTGTGATGGCCTGTCTTCCTGCTGATAAATTTGCTTCTTATCTAACTTCTCGAATTCAGGCGTGCATGGAATCTTTTTTTTCCTTCTCGACGATTCCAAGTTAAGCCTCACTCTTCTCCTTGGTTATCCTCACATTGTGTTGCTGCAATTTCCAATTGTAACCATTACTTCTATATCTATTGCCAATGTAATTCTCCAAACAATGCTTTCTAGCAGATATCTATTTATTATTGCTAGAAACCATTGTAAAAAGGTTTCGTCTAATACCAAAGTCAGCTATTCTCAGATCATGAAATCTCATATTTCATCTCAAATATTAGACTCCCAAGACATCTGGAGAATCTTAGGTATCTATAATTAGGATAAATCTATTAATCCACATCTATTGCATGGTTCAGATTTGTTACCTCACCTAAAGACAAAGTTGAATTGCTTGCTAAAAACATCTCATCTTTTGACTCCACTAATCACATCTTACTTAATATAGCCAAAAAACAGGTTGATTTATGGCTTGACATTAGTATCACTCCAGCTTCTGTATCTAAAGTGAACTCCTGCTTACTCTTTTACAGCTTGTGATCTGGACAACATACTTATTATAGTGTTCTCCGGAGCTGATGTCTATACTTATAAAACTATTTAAAATGAGTCTTGTTTTTCAGCCTGCTGGAAAGCGATTGTTATTCTTATTTTCAAATTATCTGGAGAGTGACCTGACTCGTCTAACTACTGCCCATTAATCTTTTTACTATCATAAGCTTACTATCTTACTTCTTATAATCTATTACTAATTCTTACTATCAAGGTTTTTGAGTCTTTAATTAATAAACACTTAATCGCTTATCTCCAATCTAATAACTCACTTTCTTATCACCAATATGGATTTTGATCTTCTTGTTTTACTGCTGATATGTTAATGGTAATAACTGATAAGTTATATTGTGCATTAGATAGATGTGGAGAGGTTAGGGTTTTGCTCTCAACATTTTTAAAAGTTTTTATAAAATTTGGTATGCTGGTCTTCTCTATATGCTCTCTTCTTACAGTGTATCAGGTAACATTTTTAAGATAATTAAATCGGAGCTCATTTTTAAATGATGCCCTTTCTCTTTTTGACAAGGTGTAAAAATGCATTGTAAATATAGTTAGACCTGCTCTTGCAGCCAATCTTCAACCATTGTCACATTGTTGTAATGTTGCTTTTCTTTCTCTTTTCTATAAATACTATAATGGGTGCTGCTCTAAAGAACTATTATCTCTTGTGCCATCTACTAAAATTCATTCTTGTGTTACTCGTCATTCAATTAAGCCTCATTCTTTTAGTGTGACTGTTCCGAAGTGCTCCAAAAATTCTTTTTTGTCTAGTTTTTTTCCTTGAAGATCAGTTCTTTGGAATTCACTCCTTTCATCTTGTTTTCCTGATTCATATAATATGCAATCTGTTAAGTTGTCTGGCAAATGCTATCTCGCTTTATAAACTTCATCTTTTCTTTTCCAGTAACTTCCAACTTAAATAGTGGTTTCTTATAGCCTTGTTGGAAGTAAAGATGTTAAAAATCAAAAACGCAAAGTTAACCCTGCGTAAGACATTCTGACTTCAGTGATATCTTCAAGAGAAGAAATAAACAACTTTGCCGTCTTATTTTTTCTAAATCATGAGAGAGGTTAATTTTTGAAAGTAAATTTTACAATCATCATGTTTAGTTAAAAAGAACCTGTGCAAAAAAAAAAAAAATCTAAATTATGTATCATTGGCCATACACCTACATCAAAGATTAAAATGTAAAAAAAATTGATTTAACAAAAATACAGGAGCATTGTTTAGAAAGCAAAATAATCAATTCTTGCAATTTAAAACTTGCCAACATCATCTGTTTTCATAGAATGCTTTATTGTCATTAGGGTCCATTATGTGGCAAACTGCATATGATATTTAACCTCATACACTAAAAATTTAGAAAATACAATAATTGAATCTAGCTTCCATATCTAGGGTATTTAAATTATATTCAAAATAAAATAATAAAAGTTACAAAGCATTACCCGTCAACCCATCTCAATGTTCCATCTCTACTGTCTTTACCAAGCCAGTAATACTGTAGTTTGTTTGCAAAAAAACTCAGTAAGATCTTATTCTCAGCTTGATTATAAATGCTAACCAGGTAACCATGTTTTTTTAAACAGCTTTGTTGAGCTTCACTAAAAGTTAGCATTTTTCTTTCCAATGAATATTTAAAATGAACGCCATCATTGTTTGAGTAAGTATTTGCTGTCGTGCATTAAAAGTTTTTTTAAAAGTACTGCTAGCTTTTTAAAGTTTAGAATTATTTTTGATATTCTCCCATAGATAAGTAAATAAATTATTATAGTAATATAATCAAATAACTATAGAAAGCAATACAATACAAACAAAAATAAATAACTATATAACCAGATAGACAGAAATTCATTTATGTACACAAAACTACTTAAAGCATTCAAACTAAGTTATTAATTGTAAAATTTGTCACTGTCTTTATATAACGATTATATAAAAAAAACTTAACATATTTTTTAAGTTACCTCTGTAGTTAGTTCCAGGATTGCAAGATACATGCTCCTTATGCTTTTTATCTGCTTGACATTTGCTCTTGGTAATATCCATATTTATAGAAGTGACATTTTTTATCTGATATTTAAATAATCATCTCTTAAAATTCAATATAAATAGATTATAAAATATCAGCTATATAATAAATAAAGCTTACCTTGGTGGCATTTTTTTTCAAAGATAAACTACTTTTATTTGTTTTTAGTTCTCTTATTTTTGTATTTCTTTTTGAGCGTGTTTTATCTTGAGGCTCATATGAACTTTTGTCTAGTAAAACTACAGAGTTTTTATTAATTCTAAACTTCTTTATTATAGCTTTTATGTCTTGATTGTTTTGGACTTTTAGGTCTTCATTTGTTTTGTCTTGATTGTTTTGGTTTGCTTTGCTATTTAAGGTCTCACTTCTCTTTGTAAAAAAGTTTTTTTTTACAATAAAATGTGCATCAGAATTTGTTATTATTCTTGGTTTAGATGTTCTAAGTTCATTTTGCAAGTTGTTAATTTCATTTAAAAGCATGCTTTCTTCTAGTTTTGATGACCTCATTTTCAAAGTTGATCCATTTTTAAAATTTGACATATTTTTTGAACTAAAAGAAATGTTAAGAGGAGTTTGTATAAAAGGAACAGCAAGATCTTGATCAAACACCTCTTCTTTTGAGGTGGCATGTTGCCCATTTGTATCAACAATTTTTCCATTAGCTCGAACATCAATATTTAATAACTCTTTTGTTTCATTGTCAAACTCTTCATAATCATCATTTTTTTTGTCTTCATTGTCAAATCTTTTAGCTTCATCGTTATTTTTGTAGTTTTCTTGAATTTGATTTGTTTCATAATTAAAATGTATAGGACTTTCAGTCTGTGAACCATATTCATACCCATTGAGGCTTTGTTGACTTTTATTTTTCTTATCAAACATAGAACCTACATAAAATACAAAAATATTTAAAAAATTTAAAGCCAAAAATTGTTTTATGTATCTTATGTAGATGTGTACATTGCGTTGTCAAACATCCGGCTTTTACAGAAGAAAATACAGCCCCAAAACTGTATAAATAATTTTTTTTTACTATATTCTCCTTCATAAAGCCAGAAATCTGGCAATATTATGTAATAACTAAGACAAATTAACACAAAACATTTTATACTAAATTAAAAATACGCATGCACATATAATTAAATGCACACATACATTGACATATATTGCCACACATACACACAGATATATATATATATATATATCCATATAGTGTAGTTGAAAGAGCGTTTTAATGTAAAAAAAGTCTCTTACGACTACAATTTTAATTACCTCGTTTCTTAAGCTGTATTTGATTGTCGTCGAAATGTCAAAGCAATTAAATTAATGCGGAAGTACATTAAATTTTATTGTTTTTTAAAAATTTTTTAAAAAGCTAATAAAAAGTTTTTTTTATTAGTGATGTTTTTGTTTTTATTTTATTAAAAAACATTTTTAAAACATGCGTAAATGTTGCTACATCGACTATCTTATAGCCTGACTTGCAACGGAGTGCTGCTACAACGACTGACAAATAGCCTGACTCGCAAGGGAGTGCTGCTACATCGACTGAGGGTTTGGTTTGGGCAGGCAGTCTATCATTTGAAAAAAAAAAAAAATTTAAGTTTTTAAACTTTTTCTGGTCTGAATTATTAACGCGCTCTTTAAAACTACAGTTTATGGGAAACTCTTTTCAACTACCATGCAAGAGTTTATATATATATGTATATATATATATATATATATATATATATATATATATATATATATATATATGAATATATATATATATGAATATATATATATATATATATATATATATATATATATATATATATATATATTTATATATATATATGTAATATATATATGTAATATATATATGTAATTTATATATGTAATATATATATATATATATATATATATATATATATATATATATATATATATATATATATATATATATATATATATATATATGTAAATACATATATATGTAAATACATATATATATATATATATATATATATATATATATATATATATATATATATATATATATATATATATATATATATATACGTGTATGTGTATAATAATGTGTACACACATACATACAAATGTTTACAATTAATACAATGTATCAGTGTAACATTTATACATACTTTATTATATCTATTTATACATACATACATACAATGTATGTGTATTTATAGTTAGAGTGTAACTAGGTATAAACAATGTATGTGGATGTAAAATGTATGTGTATAAATACACATACTCAAACAAAGTATCAATGTATTATTGACATGCATACACAAATTAATTGATGCATATATTGTCACACACATACACTTACATATAAACATACACTGTAAAAGTGTAAAAAAGTGCCCACACTAATTTTTAACTACAAAAATATTACTTTTTTGTAATATATTTAAAATTATTTGAAACTCATAAGCTAGTTCTGGGTAAGGATAGAAGGAGTTTGCAAGTCTTTGATGGCAATCCTCCTATTGGTGATACCACTATGAAAATACTCAGCCCTGATGTGCAAAAGAGTTTAATTCCAGAAAGAGCAACCACTTCAAATTTTTTCAAAGCTTATCAAAACTCTAAAAAAAGATTATGGGCTTAGCCTGAAGGTCATGATTTTTTGAAGCTCATAAAAATCTATGATTAACCAGGCTAAATGATTAATTGCCAGGCTACTAATTTGTCCTCATTCTATTATCTTGACAAATACCATGTCAGTTTCTGACAACTAACTCAACCTGACACTATATAACTACCTTACCAAGACTAAAATCATTAAAGATTAACTTCCCAGTTGATTTTTAATTTGTTTATATATTAGGAAAAAAAAAAAAAAAAAAACAATGACCAATAACATATTTAAAATAAATTTTAGAAAAAAAGAGGTAGACGACTTTTTTTTTACTTAAAATTTGACCAAAAAAAGTTTTCAGAGTTTTTTCATATGATGTTTATTATTGTTTTAAAAGCTCTCAAAATATTTTAGTGTTACTTAGTGATTTATTTGATTGTAAAAATACAAGTTAAAATCATATTGAAAGTTCAGCCAAATATATGGAATACAAACATAGAGTAATCATAGTTGAAAAATATTGAAAAGAACCACTTTAAAGGTAAGCTAACTATTGTAATCATAAAAATAAAGAGAATGATAGATAATCATTTTGTTTAAAAATGAACTTTACATTATAACAAATTATTAATAAACAAAAGTATAACCTATCTTTTCCTCTTCTTCATTAATAGCAGAAAGTTCGTTATTCAACCCTTCATTATCTAGTTTAACAGCATCTCGTATTTGATTGACATTTTTTTCTGATTCCAATAAACTTTCTTCTTTTGTAAGATACTCATTTGGGTAGTGTTTATACTCATCTAATAACTCTCCTTCTACAGAGTGTTTGAAAAAATTGTTATCTAAAACTAAAAAAAATTTATTTAAAATAAATGATACTTGTCAATTAGTATAAAAACAAAGTGGATGGGGAGGGAAAGGTTTTTTCAGTTTAAGATGTTTTCAGTTAACAAACATTGAATAATTGAAGTATAAAATAAAATAAAAGCATTTATGTGTGAGTGTGCATATATATATATATATATATATATATATATATATATATATATATATATATATATATATATATATATATATATATATATATATATATATATATATATATATATATATATATATATATATATATATATATATATATATATATATATATATATATATATATATATTATATATATATATATATATATATATATATATATATATATATATATATATATATATATATATATATATATATATATATATATATATATATATATATATATATATATATATATATATATATATATATATATATATATATATATATATATATATATATATATATATATATATATATATATATATATATATATATATATATATATATATATATATATATATATATATATATATATTCTTATAATTAAATTAGGAAGCAATTCTTTTAGAATGAAAAAAAGTAAGAAAATTTTTTCCACATTAGGTTCACAAAAACTGCAACTTTAAATGTTTAAGAAAAACTATAGTAATGATCCTGAAGCAAAAAAATGTTTATTTAAACAAGGCCTAGAAATGTAATGCCCATAAAGAGTTTTAACCACTTCTGAAACCTCAACAAGATTAATTTTGGTTAAATTAGATTACATATGGGATACTTAAGGAAACTAAAACTGTTTTTAATCAAAACAGTTTTAGTTTCCTTAAGTATCCCATATGTACTCTAATTTAACAAATATGGCTTGATTTTTTCCTTTAAAGATTGCTTTTTTTAAATAGTTATTCCCTATAGACAAAAAAATAAATTGCCATTAGTGACACTTTGACATAACACATCACTGAAAAGTACTAAAAGCCTGTGAAGAATGAGACATCACATTGAACTCAGAAATCAACAACTTTACTTGCATCATTTCCCTTCAGTTAATGAAAAAAATATTACAACTCTACAAGAATTTTTGAAAGTGAGCAAGTGAGCGTTCCAGGATCGTATCCCATTCGAGGGATATGTAATAAATTTTTAATGTTTTTTTTTTATATTTATAAAATATTTAAACTTTTTTTTAATTTTTTTTTTTATGTTTTATTTTATTATGCTTATTTATTGACTAAATTACTTAGGGATATGCGCCGGGAATAGCACATGGTTCATGCATTAATAGACAAAATGGAGTATTTATACACTGACTGATTTAGGGATAGGCACCGAGGAATATACATGCATTTAAAAATTTAGGGACAGGCGCAGAGAAGCGTACATTACTTTACTAATTTAGGGATAGACGCAGTGAAGTGTCCATACATTTACTAGCTTATGGATAAGCGCAATGAAGTGTACATACATTTACTAATATAGGGATAGGCGCAGTGCAGGGCACATGCATTGACTGAGGTTTTTGGTATGGGCTGGTAGTCTATTTATTTAATGGCAATTCTTATTTAATTTTTTACATTTTTTTCGTTTTTGTTTTTTAAAAATCTAAAGTCATTTTACGGTATTACAAAGTTTATTTTGACACGTAATATTATCAACCAATAAAAAAAACTTTCGGAGGAAAACTTTTATTTTTCCATCCGGCGAAAAAAAATAGACTATTCTATACTAGATCAATATTCATTAAAAAAAATTTAAATTCATTAAATATTTGACTGTGTTTTAGAGTAATGAAAGGAAACCCCTCAATTGAGGGAGTTGTAGATTTTACATGGTCACCGTTTCTAAGCACTAAGAGTTTTGTTGATAAAATTTGAAATATAAAAAAGAGCTTTGGGTTACTATAAAATAACGTAATTATTTTTACCAAAATAATATTTTTCTCGACGGGGGTTGTGAAGGAAAAAACTATTGGGGTGCTTTTTCCCCTGAGTTCCGATAGCTTCAATTTTTTGTAAACCATCCTCATTTGATTTCATCATGAAGATATAAAAAGTTTTGAGTTTATACCATGCCTAGTAGTTAACCATTTTGAATACAAAAAATCCAAAATCCATCTGTTAAAACGCAAATCTGGCTCGGACAAAAGTAAAAGATTATAAAAACAACTTTAATTGTACTTATAAGGTCTATATAATGGTTTTATTTGGTCCTTCTAGATAAGGTTGATTGTGAATTGGACAGCGTGTGAGCCGTAAAGAAATGCGCACTTGGCTGCAAGCCACACTAAAATTAAATTGTTTATTAGTGTTCTATACAAAATTTGGTCTGGACTAAAATTCCTGCCCCCTCATTTTATTTATACTCATTCTCTACCCCACCCCCTCCTCCTTCTTCTCCTTATATTAAGCACCCAAGAGTACATCTTTTAAATAGAGACTGTCCAAAATCAAGTTTTTCCGTCTAACTTAATGCATTCAATAAAAGACATGCTTAAAGATATGGGGAATGATCATTCCTAAATATAATCTCAAAAAAATTTCCAGATATTTCATGGCATAAACAATGCAAATACCTGAAACGTAACTAATTAAATTAAGTTTTTTTTTTAAATTTAACTTCTTGTTCTTCTTTTTTTTTTTTTTAATAAACATTTCTATTGAGATTTTTGTTGTTGTTGTATTAAATTTAAATTTGATATTAAGAATATTTGTGAAAGCAAAGTAACAATGTAATTTAAAGTAACGTTTTTTATTGACTCACTTAAAAATATCAATGTTTTGATGAAAAAAGATTTATATAATGCATTATATAAAATCGATTTTTAATGCTAATAAAAAATGACTTATTAATTTGACAGTAATTACTCCTTAATTTAGTAGTATGATTTGTTTAAAGTTGATTAAAAGTGTAGCCTTAGTTCTAACCGAAAAACTTAGTTCTAACCGAAGTTCTAACTTAGTTCTAACCGAAAAACTTAGTTCTATCCGAAAAAGCTTATTTTTGCAACTGAAAATTACTATTAAATAATTTATCTTATTTATATTGATATTTCTTTTCAAGTACTTTACGGTAAACTACTAATCTTCGTAGTTTTTTGAAAAAAATAATAAAAATAAAAACAAATACAAAAGAGGCGATTAAACCCCGGGGAGGGTTTTTAATTAATCCATAATTAGAAACCCTCAGTAAATTAAATTCGTATAAAATAAATGTTAGCGGTTTTATTTATTAGACTTTTATAAAGAACGCAGATCCGAATCAATTTTAAAATTGATTTCGACTTAGTAGCATGTTAATTTGTTACTTTTTATTTAATCGAGTTAATCGTAAATTATGTCGAACGGTAAGAATAGACATTTTCCCACAACTAGAATTTCTGATTTTAATGGACCTAGAAAAAATTGTATTCCTAGTAAGCTGCTTACAAACAGAGCATTTACACAAAAAGAAATTTTGTTGAAAGAACAAAAGAATATACACCAAAACAAATATTCTAACAGAGATCTTGCAAAAAATCTAGTCTAACAGAGATTTTGCAAAAAATCTAAAAATCTATTCCACTTATTTTTGCTAAATGGAAAAAAGCAAGTGTAAAAGTTTCAACAGCCAGTTATTATTGGGAAGAAAATGCTATATTATCGAATAAAATCTCTTTGAGAGAAAGTAGAAAAAGTTGCATAGGGAAAGACTAAAGTAAAACTAAAAGAAGATCTTAAATCGAAATCAGATAAACTTATGGACCTCAACACATGTCCTCATACAATACTTCTGTGTGAGAATGATCTGTCTGGAAGTTCTCCTCTCACCAAAAACTATGATCCAGTTAATGTATACTTTACTTTAAAACAAGAAAATGAAATTAAATTGTTGATTGAAAGGTTTTTAAAGGAAAAGTTAAGTATCTATGCTTTCCTTGTAAAACAATTTTTAGATAATTCTAAGTCAAGAAAAAACACAATTATAGCTACCATAAGGTGACTATATATATTATTTTTTTATTGAGCAGCAAATGATTGAATGATGAGTTAAAAAAAATAGACATAAATTAGTTTTATTTTATAGATTTGGGATTTCATCTAACGCAACTGCAGTAATTGCTCCAGGTTATATTCAAGATTTAATTGAAGCAGGATTTCTCACCCCTGAATCCTCTTACTAAAAGCGAGAAAAAAAATTATGGTGAATGCAAAGAAAATTGATAACTCAAAACTTTTGAATGCATATAATATTGGCGTTTACTTTGATGAAAAGGAAAAGATTTAATAAGAGCAATAATAAATAATTCAAATGGACAGTTACATCTTATTATTATCAGAAAGTAACAGATTATAAAAAATCTGGTGGTCCATATCTTGATGGTGGTTTTACCCTGGATGCACTTATTCATCCAGATAGTCCAGCTAAGGTTGAAGGTTTTTTGCTGTAACAACATAATCAAACTGAATCATGTTTAGTATTTAGAGTAGTTCTTCAATTAAAACAGCTGGAAAGGTGGTCAGGGTTCAGTTTAGGGTTAGGGTTAGGGTTAGGTTACAAGTGTCATTGGGCCATATGCATGCTTCATTCAAATGAGTTGTTTTTGTGTCACCTAATAGAAGCAATTGTTAAACCTACATTATGTAGTACTGAACTTGTAGGTCCTGCAAGAAAATTTTTTCCTCTTGTTAATAAAATGGAATATAATCCTCAATTCAAGGCTCCTCCATACGGAGAGAGCTTTGTTGAAATTCCAGAAACTATTCTAAAAAAATATCAACTGATCAAAAATAATCCTAAAAGATATGTAAAGCATTTAAGATTGATGTGCTGCCACCTAATCTAAGAGAAACTCAATGCTGATAAGATTGTAAGGACTTCTGGGAGCACCTTAATAACTACAAAAAAAAAGTTACATTCTTTCTCAAATGAAAATTCTCAAAAATCAACCTGATATAATAAAAGAAATCGTGACTCCCTACATCCAGTAAAGAGCTTAGTGTAAAAACCATG